CAATACATAGGCTCATCTGACATTTGTCTGAAAGTAAACATGGAATTTATGAATAGCCCTTAATTTATCTTTCCTCTTTCCAGGCTTGCCTCTGATTTAGGTCCTTTAGTTTGCTTCTGCAAACAAACCATCTGAGGGGGGAACCTTTCCCCTCATCTACATTTCAAGTGAGGATTAAGAATTTTTTATAAAGTTATGGAAATTTACTATGTAAATGCTTGAATTCTTTTCTGCTAGTGAATCTTCTGAGAGGTGCTTTCTCCACTTATTTAAAACTACCCATGCAATTAAAAAGTGCAATGCAGTGTCCTTGTTCTTTTGACTTCTTCCAGGGCTGTGATTTTTCTCACTAGATGTTTTACCATTTGCTGTGGTAGTAATTTATCCCACTAAAGTGAGCGTGACATTGTAAAAGTAACTGAGGGCTCTTCCACCTTAATTACTGCCTGTAGTGATTCCTGGTTGAAACAGGACTATGATCTACAATTTGAGCAGTTACTATGGTTCTGAGACAGTTCATTTACCCTAATGTATCAGTATCACAGTAACTAGCAGAACTAGAGCCCTTGCTACTGTTTCATCATATCTTTCTGATGACACTAAGGACTAAACACAGGCTCTACTGCAGAGCTCCCCAGCCTTTTCTCCCCAGGCTGGCTTCTAGCTTGTGATCTTCCTGTTTCAGTTTACTGAGCAGTTGGGATTATAGGCCTTTCCATTATCATATAAATTAAAGTTTCTGGATTCAAACTCTGGTTTCAACTCTGCTACTGATAAACTAGGTAATCCTGGGGGAGGGGGGAGGCAAAAATCAGTTATTTCCTTAACTGTAGAGAAAAATAACAGTATCTCTGAAGGTTGTGAGGAAGAATCAAAGGGATGGTGCTTTATAAGCACTTCATATGATGGGTGTGGTGGAGCATGCCTGTAATCCCAGCACTTGAGAAACTAAAGCTGACAGATTGCTGTAAATTCAAGGCCAGTCTGAATGAGTTACACATCTGACCCTATCTCAAAAAAAAAAAAAAAAAAAAAGCACTTCATATGTGTCAGGTACCATCTTTTTAAATTTTATTTTTGTGTGTGTGTGTGTGCTGACATGTCCAATCAAACAGAAGTCAAGAGAAACTAGCCTTTTTTAAATGGGGTTAGAGGTTAATGTCAACCATTTTGCACTTTCCTGTTAATTTACAACAGGGAGTGAAGTACAGATAATTGGGTCTGGTAGGTCTTGGGATAACTACTAGTTTACATTATGAATCTTTACTAAGAATTTCTCACTAGACTCTCATATGTATTCTAATAGTTGTACTGTGTTTTATTTTTGCTTCTTGTAGTCTGATATCCTGTTGGGCATTCTGGACAACTTGGACCCAGTCATGTTCTTCAAGTCTCCTTCCCCAGAATCTACCAGGCTGGAAGAGCTCCCAGAGGTCTACCCAGGAGAACCTAGTTCCTTACCAGCCTCCCTTTCTCTTTCAATGGGGACGTCATCAACCAAGCTGGAAGCCATTAATGAACTAATTCGTTTTGATCACGTATATACTAAGCCTCTAGTCTTAGAGATACCCTCTGAGACAGAGAGCCAACCTAATGTGGTAGTGAAAATTGAGGAAGCACCCCTCAGCCCCTCAGAGAGTGATCAGCCTGAATTCATTGTCTCAGTGAAGGAAGAACCTGTAGAAGATGACTTCATTCCAGAGCTGGGTATCTCAAACCTGCTTTCATCCAGCCACTGCCTGAAGCCATCTTCCTGCCTGCTGGATGCTTACAGTGACTGCGGATATGAGGGTTCTCCTTCTCCCTTCAGTGACATGTCCTCTCCACTTAGTATAAATCATTCTTGGGAGGACACTTTTGCTAATGAACTTTTCCCCCAGCTGATTAGTGTCTAAGGAATAATCCAGTACTGTTGCTCTTTTTCTTGATTACACACTGGGAGGCTAGCGAAGGCTTCCTGTGCTTCACTCAACCAAAACAGAGGGTGTACAGTTCTAGAGTGTTCCTCTAACGTATTTGTTCAAACCTTATGGATGACTTCAAGTATTGTTTTTTTGACATCAAGCAGTCCAGAGATATCCAGATGTTAGTTAACTCAGAACTACAGCTTTTGAGACTGTACTTGTGTCTGAAAGGTGGTAGTTTTCCAA